CTAGAGACGACACGGTAGTAGACAGTTGCAATTGGTCATATTTAGATTGTTTGACTTCCGCCATCAGCTCGTCTAAGGTTTTATTGATGTCGACTGAAATGCAAATATATGAGAAATATTTTTTTAATATTTCCTTGATATACGTAGGAATCCCTCTCTGAAATTATTCAAAACAGTTCACGTCCACTGAAAATGAAAAACAATTGACATTGATAAACATTTCTTAATAGCACCAAACATCAGATCACTTAACAAAATATTAAAATAACTAGAGCCGAGCTCGTTGCAAAGCAACGAGTAGGTCTTCCGTCGGAGCTGCGGACAGAGAGAAATGACCTTGAGTCAAGGTCATGCCACGTTCTAATTTTAAAGCAATCTTTTAAGGGTAGATATCATCTTATTATGTTTTACTATAAATTAATGTAACTTATAAGGAAATTTTTTCGTCATTGTAAATCATTGTCAATTCTTAACATTTGAAACCTTGACCTTGGAGAGGACTTATATAGGCCATGCCTGATGTCCAATCCAATAATGTAATCTTACTTACATAATAAAATATTGATTAAATTAAATTAAATGCCACGTTCTAATTTTAAAGCAATCTTTTAAGGGTAGATATCATCTTATTATGTTTTACTATTAAAAAAAGGATAGTAAAGGAATGTTTGTGACCTTGACCTTGTCAGAATGACCTTGAGTCACACCATGACACACGCTGGTGATGAGCACATCCCATTTGTGTGCTACCGTATTGACAAATTCACACATGTTTTTTCAAACAATGCATCCAGCCAAAATATCTTATCATAAATGACCTTGATTCAAGGCCATAACACACTCTGCATGATTTAAGCCATACCTTTTGTTTAGATAGGCCTTGTCACAGCTAATATACATGTGTAAAAAGTTATGGTCAATTTTAAGCAATGTTTGAATTATGGAAAAGCCGGATAAACTTCAAGGTCAAAGTTCATGATATACTAGTATTTGAAATGATTTTATCACAGGTTACGTACATGTGATGTTTGTGTAATATGAAAGCCTTATCTCTTCTCATTAAAAAGTTATGATCAAGCCTCAAGGTCAAGTTGTCAAAAGTCAGTGTACTAGGTATTTAGAAAAGAGTTGTCTTAGGTAATACACAGGGATAAAATAAAAGCCCTGTCTCTTCTCATTCAAAAGGTATGAGTATTGTTAATGTTTTTGAAAAGCAGGTCAAACTTCAAGGTCAAAGGGTAAAAAATCAGTGAGTTTTTAAAGGTATTGTCACAGTTAATACATTTTTATAAAATGGAAGCTTTCAAAAGTTATGGTCAATTGAAAGTAATGTTATTTTTTTACGTAGGTCAAGCTCAAAGATCAAGGTCACAGGGTCAAAAATCACAGTATATTTGAAAATCGGATGTCATAAATAATGCACATGTGAAATATCAAAGTCTTATATCAACTCATTCAATAGTTATTATCAAGTTTAAAGTTCAGATGGACAGACTGGCTGACGAATAAGGTTTAATGTTCCCTAAAAAAATAAATACATGTAATTCGAACAAGATAAATTAAGAAATACGAATAATAATAAAAAAAAATTAGAAAATATTAGAATATAAATCAGGTTTCCTACATGAGATTTCCTTAAAGACTTATTATAAATACATATTATTCAAGTACATGCAAAACATATGCATGTACGTTGGAGGTTCAAGACGCGGAAACCGGTCATTTCGATGAGAACGTATACACAACTGTCTCGTTACGGGGTAGGTGGTGTCATAAAAGGATTAAATTCGCCTGATTCCACCTCTGATTTTTTTTTAAGTCAGTCTTTGCGCTGCTAGTGCTTTATATTGTTTAAACAGAATTTAATTTTATGAAAAGAATTATTTTTAATGCTTATTTTTGACATATGCTTAAAATATTTACCTAATCAATTTGAGTTTAAATAGTAAAAAGGAATTTGTCACTCAGTATTTATCGGTCCTGCGGATGAGACCGTATAAGCCGAGGCCCCGTGTCACAGCAGGTGTGGCACGATAAAGATCCCTCCCTGCTCGAAGGCCGTAAGTGCCGAGCATAGGCTCAAATTTGCAGCCCTTCACCGGCAATGGTGACGTCTCCATATCAGTGAAATATTCTGGAGAGGGACGTTAAATAGTATACAATCAATCAATCTAAGGAATTAGTGTCAATCCTCTACATCAAAGAGCGTCTGACTTGTATGCATGATATAAATTGCGTAAATGTGTTAATTGAAATTTGAGTGAATCCCGTATGTTGTGTGAGAGAGTCAGTTTTGTACTGGACATTCCATCATCAAGAAAATATAGTTTTACTCTGGACTATTCCGAGTTACCAAAACGTTTGTGTGTGTGTCTGTGTGTGAGCTTTACAACCTGTCTTTGTTCTCTGTGACTTGATTTGATTTATTTTTCAAAATACAAACTTTAACTTTTTATTGCTTGACTTACGTTTAATAAATTTTCATCACAAGTTCACTTGTGTTACTTTAACCAAATATATTCTATTAAATTAATGATTCCATCGTCTTTGTTAACTTTAAATTGCTAGAAATATAGTGTAAAAATCCAGAATGAAATAAAGAATGTTAAAAATGACATTATTAATTGTCGGAAATGCAATGCAAAATTCCGGAAATAAAATGCATTCATTTAATTTTCGATTTTCATGAGAATTGGAAACGTCACTTCCACTTACAATTTACTGTTTATTTGTATCTGCTAATTTAAACAACATCGCAATTTTTTCTGATATAAAGCAATTAGAATAACTTGATATAGGCCCGTATACATGTAACGATTGCGGGGAGACGGGGCCTAAAAAATTCTTGTACTACATGTGTACCTTTCCAATAATAGAATCATCCTTACAAATCAAAAACATGTTGCAGTATTGATATCCCCAATTTTTTAAATAACGAGACTATAATGGACTTCACAAGGGTAGAATTTAACATTAATTTATGTACATGCGCAATTAAAATCACTATCAAAATTGGCAGAGTGATCGATAGGTCATCCTGTGTCACCTATCAGTGTAACCAATGAACTCGTCCAGATACCTGAGCAGCAGAGAAAAGCAGCACATTTTATTCATTCGTCAAAGAAAAGAATCCGACATTTAACACTTTTAAATCTTTGAATACACATACACGTTCAAGAAAACCTTTATATTTGTGTCTAGAAATATTCTTACGATTAACGCAAATAATCTAGGACTCGAGTAAAAATCAAAGAGCGGTACTGTTGACCTCATGAATGTATATAGGTCAATGTGCGATCGATGAACGGCTTTCATAACAGTACACACACACAACAGTCAGGGTCCGCGGAAAATTCACGATGCATGAATTAAATGACAGTGAATTATCTTAACAATGCTTAAGCTTGAATTATTTTTTTTTTATAAATAATAATGATAATGCTACATTGAATATTAATCGAAGGAAAGATGATAAGTATTTTCCCCCTCCCCCGTCTTGTTATTTAAACTTAACACAAGAAGAAAGTTGTCTCTGAATAATCTGTATGACATCCAGCTAGAGAATACGTTAAAAACTTATTTAAACAAAGTTAAACATTCAATTTAGCTATAGGTATATTATTCTTGTCCACCCTATTACATTTATTTCAGTTATATACGTGTTATACGCATACGCACATAGAATTCTTCTTCACTTGCCGTATAAAATCACTTACCTGTACATGGATTATAAAGTTTTCTGCTCATTTAATAACACATCACTCGTACAAAATAACGTTTTCATGAGATCAATAAGATGTTAAAGAACCCATTTCATATGATAACCATATCGAAATATTTACCGTTTTTGAGTTATAGAGCAAAACTTTCAAGGTCTTTCAAGGTCCGTAAATCCCTAATTTGAGGGGCCAGCCCCTTTTTAATGATGTCAAATGATAGATCTTAAAATTATGCACAATATTTGTTCAACATGTCTTAACAAATTATTTTTACTTTAAAAGATACATATGGAAATATATATCAATTTTTGCGCTTTAAGGCATTCTCATTTTTGACCCCTATCTAGCACCGTTTTGAGGGCAGAAATCGAAAAAGAAAAAGCGATGTGCACAACTTCAATTCTTCTAGTATTTGAATTCAGTAGAATTTCTGCTCCAGCTTTTGTCGTTTCTGAGCCTTTGTCTGGAAACAAACAGTACCAAATTTTCATTTAAAGGGAAATAACTCGAAAGCGGAAGATAATTTTTGAAAACATTCTAATTGAGTTTTGTAACGTTTAAAAACTCTGAAAATTTGAGCGAAATCCGTTAAGAAATGAGCGAGTTACGAGGTCTCAAAGTTGGCGTCTAGGAAAAAAAAAGAATAATAGGAATAATCTTAACCATCAGAATCAGTAGAAGGTCTTCCGCCTGAGCAGAAGACCTTAATTATTACTTTAGTCATTTTGAATCCAAAACGCCCATGACGCAAGTTTTTTTTCACTTCCATTTCAGCAAAATAAAGAAATTCACTGAATGGTAAAGGACAGCGGTATCAAAATTTATGTAGAATAGAAAATAGTTCCTAAAAAAAGTGTTCATTTTATACATGTAACTCTTCTCCATATTTAAAAGAAGATGCAACTTTATCTTTAAAACATAGGCCTATAACATATGTAACACAGCAGAAATCCTTAGAGAAAGGATCAAGTGGTAGTGTACTAACAAGAAAACGGTTTTGTCCAATACATTTTCCAACATATGTTTTGTATGGCTACATTAGATATTTTCTTTCGATTGATTCTACACTTCTTTTCTAACATGAACCTAAAAAAACTTGACTTGCTTCTTAATATAAAGAAAAAATACACAAATGAAACGATGAACTAAATTATTTTCTTTTTACGCCTTTATTTTTTTCCAAAACAAAATCTTTATGTGTCATTTAAATCTTAAACATGAAATGTTCTTTAAATTTGGAAAGATAATTGATACAAATCAAAAAGAAAATAATCAACTTACCAGATATAGAATTTTGTATGATATTTTGTGAGTTTTCGAGGTTAGACAGTGATTGAAGCATTGTTTTATTTGTTGCAATTATATCATTGTTCAAGTTCTCCACAGAAGTGTTCAATCTCAAAGATATTTGCTCATATTTTTCCTGCATCATTTCAGGAAATTTTTTGTCAATTTCCAAAGTATGTTTATTTAAGTCCAGAAGGGTAACTGACAGGTACCGAACTTCCACTTTAAAATCTGCAAGTACATTGCTAGTGTTTGTCTCGAAACGTTCTCTTTTCTCTTCCAGTTGTTCCACAACCTGTTGAATGTATTCGTCGACTTTGGTGAAATTTTCTGTAACAGCTCTGAAAGTTTCTTCATATCGCCCGTTTTCAAGCTCAAGTCTTTGGTTTTCTCTTTTCAGTTTTTCAACCTCCTGTTTTAAGGCGGTCACTTCTACGTCTGTTTCCTGCTGGGATGTTTCCAATGTCTCCATATTTTTCTTCAGATCCAGCATGTCCTTCATTAAGGCGTGTACGTTCTTCACCAGTGACATTCTGATGATTGTTTCTTGGTTCAGCAACTGTCGGAAGACGTCCGTAGTTTTGGATTCCGAATCACTGATGTCCAGTAAAGATGAACTGTTGCCACTGCTGTCTGTGAATATAGACAATCCATTTATTTGTATGAGAAAAGCAAGCAATAACGTAAACAGTAGTGCTTGCTTCATCTTGAAAATCTGAGAAGGGATAGCGGACCAAGAGAACATTTAGCTTTATATACATTTGCATATAAACTTTGACCTTTTCTATTGCATGACACATGCGCAAGATGAAAATTCGTTAAAACATGAGTTGGCAAATATTAAAAACTGTTTTCGACTCTTACTGACGTAAGTTAACTTCCTCTTTAATGTTTTTGCTCTTTTTAATAATTTTAATAATAAAGTTAAAAGAAATTCTTCTAGAAGTAAAATCCAAATGAAGAAGAGTTGAAATGTACGTTTATCTGTTTAGGTCAATAGAAAAAGCATCTACACGTATTACGAAATTTTCTTAACTATTAAAAATGTTTATTTTTCATTGATTTTTCAAAAAAAAATTATTTTATTTTGGAGTCGGAGTTGGGATGGGTGTCTTTTCATTTTATAGAAAAAGGGAAGTTTATCCCTAAATATATGACTGCTTGTTTATTCATTGCTTAACGAAGCCCGATCTACTTGATCTGCGCGTACGTTTTAAAGCAGCATCTACTGAGGCACGTCACAATACCTTTGACTGCCGTCACAATTGAACACAATAACGTCACAATTAAAATGACGTCAAACTGCGCTAAAATGTTTCTCTGATCTTGCTTACCTGGTAGCTCTATAGACTGTGCATTGAAAGCTGGCATCTCTGTTATTTACATTTTTAACAAAAATATTTGTTCAAATTAATAAACAACTTTGGAACATAATTTATTTTAAAGTATGAATTTCTTGGTACAGATCCATTAATTTTATCTTGTTTCATTTTAATTTGTGAGTTTAAAAAAAACAAACACTGAAACCAAAAGTAAACGATTTTAGTCTTTCTCCTTGAACTTTTTGAAGTGTTTATACACACTCTTTTTATTGCGGACTTAAATATGCATGGATTGTCTTCAGTTTTTAAAATATTTAGTAAGTCTATGAATCATTTAAATGCAAACCCGAAATATTTTATTTTTCTATATATTACATGATATTAGAAAATATCGTAATTTTTTCGCCTTCACACACACACACACACACACACACACACACACACACACACACACACACACACACACACACACACACACACACACACACACACACACACACACACACACACACACACACACACACACACACACACACACACACACACACACACACACACACACACACACACACACACACACACACACACACACACACACACACACACACACACACACACACACACACACACACACACACACACACACACACACACACACACACACACACACACACACACACACACACACACACACACACACACACACACACACACACACACACACACACACACACACACACACACACACACACACACACACACACACACACACACACACACACACACACACACACACACACACACACACACACACACACACACACACACACACACACACACACACACACACACACACACACACACACACACACACACACACACACACACACACACACACACACACACACACACACACACACACACCACACACACACACACACACACACACACACACACACACACACACACACACACACACACACACACACACACACACACACACACACACACACACACACACACACACACACACACACACACACACACACACACACACACACACACACACACACACACACACACACACACACACACACACACACACACACACACACACACACACACACACACACACACACACACACACACACACACACACACACCCCCCCCCCCTCCTCCCTCTACCCCTTTTTCCCACATAAAATAACGTCGCTTGTTAAGAGAAAAATAAAGAATGAAGAGTAAATGATTTCATAATGTAAGAATTATTTACTTTTTAGAAACTAATACAGTATTGCAATCGTTTGCTGGTGTTATGTAAATCCATTGCGACTTATAAAATAATTATACACTGAATTGACGACGGATTTTTTCCGTCATTTCCTGATCATGACAACGAGCACACGGCGGGTGTGACCGGTCAGCAGGGGATGCTCACTCCTCCATGGCACCTGATCCCACCTCTGATGTTTCGGAGGTCCGTGTTTACTCTGCTCTTATTTTGTATATTGTTTACTGAACTTTGAGATTGAATACTGTTCGTTATCTCCATATCCTTCTTGGGAAGAATATATCTAAATTTTGTGTTTTGACATGCCCCCTTTTCACTGCAATAAAGGCTACCTCCAATTTTCTTTTTATATTTTATAAGAAAACTGAAAATTGCATGATATATGTGAAAAAAAGGAATTTCATCATGTATTTTTTTATTTCAAAATTTCTTTGTTTATTGGAGAGTTTTAGTATGTAATTGTGAATAAAAACACGACAAATGGTCCATATATTGACAGTGGCCCAATTTGACTACAATAAAGGCAAGGTAACAAAATTTTATTTTAATTTTTCTTAGCATAATATATACAAATATATTTCCAAGAATTAAAAATTGTTATCATTCCGTTTTCGTAATTTTCAACTAGGTCGGGCCTCGTTAAGCCTTTATGCCTTTAGCATTTGAAAAACGTCTACTTCCAGGTTGAAGTGTTTAAGGGAGAGAAAAATAATGCCTTAAAATGTGCTCACAATACACTTTTTACATAGACCGTGATAATTTTAAGAAATGTTATCTTATAGTCTCTTTTCAAGCCTTCTATATAAACCTTAATGTATTCTTCATGCAGTAAAAGCATTGAATTACGCATGGTCGACAACATTCAGTTTATGATTCATAAAATTCTAGTAATTTTGCCTTTGTTCATGATATGATCTTTACAAATATTCCATTTATAATTTCCAAAATGACTTCAACCCTCTTCACTCCTTTCTGCTTTGAGTTTGAAAAAAAATAATTAAAAAGTCAGTTATAAAGTGGACATTCAGAAAGTTTAAGGAAAAATACTCAGCCGATTCATTTTGTAAATAATGGTCTATAAAAATAAGTATGTAAAAAGTCAGTTATCATTTGATTTCATGATAGATTTTATTTGCTGACAAGGTTAGTGTATCGATCACAGAATTTGCAACATGAAGGCTTTAAACGAGACTGTTGATATCCTTGTTTCATGGACTTCTTTGTCAATGACTTTATTCTAAAATTTCTCATACATGTATGTAGAGCATTTTCTTGCGTATCGATCAACTGAGGGACACTAACCCCATATGCATGTAATAATGATATATTGTTACATATGATATATTGCTATTGCTATTATAGGTAGAGGAAGTTGACGATTGAAAAGTTAAAGTTATCACGTTTATCATAAGACGTTATTGTTAGCTTATCATTAACGTCTTTGCGTAATAAAATATCCAAATAATAACAGATGTGTCAGTGTCTGTGTATCTTTTATTTCTCTCATATAAATATTTTTTGTCTTGCAAATTTTGCTTCATATCAATACAAAATACCTGGTAGGTTTAGATTTGCTTATAATTGAACAAAATTGATACTTATGGCAATTTCGATAGATTGCTAGAAGACCTGATCTTCAAAATCAACATAGACATTGACAATCAGAAACTCACTCTCTTCTGCGTATTTGTGTGTACAATCAGAGTGATTTTTACAAATAAATTTGAAACTAACCAATGACAATATTATTTTATCTAAGAGTTCCATTTGAATTGGAAAGCAGATGTAATCGAAAACAATCTATCAGACAGATCTGTACTTATTCAGGTACATGTTTTTTATATATTGCATTCAGTCTTTAATATCTAACTTTCAAAATATTTCTCTCTAATTTCTCCTAATGAATAAGAAAAATGACAATATCTCATGAATTAGCATAGTTTGCTGCTGAATTGGTGAGAACTGGGTATTTTATTTAAATGATAGTTCACTGAAGTAAAGTTGAGGCAAGTGAAAAAAATGTTTAAATATAACATATGAATTTCATTTTTTAAGTTGATGAGGAACATGAACTACAAAGCTTTTCATGAAATATGCAGGCGTGAAGTTCATCTTCTCTGGTCTTTTCAATACTGAAATTTCTTAATTGACGAGTGAGTCCTTAGCTTAACATTATTTATGCACACGTTCTGCACATTATGCTTCGTCGCAAACCGAATCAACTTGCCAAGACTAGATGACATTTAAAAATCTATATCCATAGTATTTTTCACTAAACACTTGTTCTTAAAAGTTCCTCGAAGTCTGGCAAATGCCCTTCTTCCACTGAGGACAGATTGAAATCTATTAAAACTTTCGGATATGCACTGGACACAAAGAGGCAAAACATAATCTGATTTATTAAACTAGAAAACCGGAAAACCTTGTAATGGGTATTCCTTCGCTGTAATGATTTGACCCACTTTGACACCTTGCCCACACTCTGTCTCCTTGTTTGAGATTCAGTGTCACCATATTGGATCCAGAATCGTAAAAATCTTTACGCCGCCCCCCGTCAGACATTGTCATCACCTTTGCTCCTCCGTTATGTACAATAGATACATACAATGTGTCACTGCTATACCCCTGGGCACTGATATAGAAGTCATACTGTCCGGCCGTGGGGGCGGTAAAGATCCCTGTACCTGGGTCGTATCCACCTCCAACGTTATTGATGACCACAGGAAATACTAGTGTACTTCCGCTTCCGGTAACTCCATGACCAGCTGTAAAGGCAACCTTCTTGGACGAGTCTAAAAGAATGTAATAATGTTGGTGTAGTTTTCGTATAGCGAAATTAGTATGATAGAAAAAAAATTCCTATAGCTGACTTCATAGAAGAAATATCATTATACTATTGTTTATAAGAAACACGAGATAATATCTTTCAAGCGAATTTCATGTTGAAGAGTTGTTCAATAAGATATGATTCCTTCAATAGGACCCCTGATTTATAGAAATTGATGCATACATTAACACAATCTTTCTATCATTTCAAATTTTTTATTATATTGCATTTATCTCAAAAAAAAATTTACTGATGGATATTCATTTTCATTGATGACAAGCTTAAGTAACATTTTATGCTGACTACCGTATATACTCGCCTATAAGTCGGTTATATTTTTTAGGTTATTTTGGAGGTGTTTGCCATTAGCCCGTTTATAAGTCGGTACAACTTTTTGCCAGAATAAGTTGACATTTTTAAATCAATACATAGATGTTTTAGCCTGGTTTCAATTTATACCTTATTTAACTCGCTCAAAAGTCGGACATAGACTTTGAAGCAAAATTTAACAAAAATAAATTGACTTATAGGCTAGTACGAGGGTTTATCAAAACGTTCGTGGGCTGAGCCTACAAAATTAATACTATGTATAGTCTGTGCTTTCAAATTTATAAGGAACATAAAACAATTAAACAAAAGAAGAAATGTTGAAATTTTGAGCGTGATATGTTCATTATTTGCCAAATTATCATGAAATAAAAACGACATGATATGATCACCTAGTGCCATCGCCGTTTAGTTTCAACATTGTTGTTCAATGTCCACTTATTTTAATGAGATTCCCCAGAGATAAATAAGGACTTATATCCATCTTTTTATATGATTTTACAATGTCATGAACAGCGGCTTTCAATATAATATAATATTGCAAATGAATTTATACATTGGGAGAGATCATCGCTTGATTGTGTAAACACATTTTGCTGTTTGGAGATTAATTTCTACAAAACATTTTTTGACGTGATTGATTTTTCACATCTTGACTACAAATCAAAATTACTTGTGCATCCCTTTTCTCCCTGACTCTCTTTTGGCATTAAAAAACAAGTAGTCTGGATGTATTTTATTTCTCCGTAACCAGTTAAAACATTTACTAATTTTTGTGATGTAATAAAAATATTATTAATTTTGTTCTTTCTCAGTTATTGTTTTATATTTACTGATTGAGCCATAATTTTTCATATAAAGTAATTGATAATATAGTATTTATTTATTAAATCTTACGTGAGCACTGAGCACTGAACAAATCATATGTTGCCCTCATACCGAGTCAATAACTGTATATTACCTTGGGGATTATCGCGTATCATCGTGCCATCACTTCATCGACTTCGCGCCATCGCACCATCGCTTCATCGTTATGGCATTATTGTGTCATCGCATTATTGACCCAAACCTCGATTGTGCGATGATGCGATCGTGATATATGTGACCCTATCCAGATTCCATACATTACCCTTGTTTGCCAATACTGCAACCAAAAGTGTGCGGTGGGGGGGGGGGGGGACAACTGGACTTTTAATGAACCTTTCCTGTAGAAAAACTTAAGTCTAGAAAAATAAGTGGGGGAGGCCATGTAAAGATAGTTTTTACAATGTTTACCGGCATTTTTTTTTTAATCAAGGTTTGCAAAATAATATGATAAACAGCAGCATTTTCTGGCCAACCGAAGGGGTTTGACATGCTACTGTCTCTGTTTCACAATGGTGGTAAATTTGCTGTATGACCCTGTGTTAGTATCGACCCTTATTTTGGAGAAGCTGTCTGTCCCTTCCTGACTATGCACAGGGTTTCAAATAAATTTGAAAATGTTTCCTCAATGTTTTTCTGTCATCATTTACCTGTTTACCTGACCTAATGATCAACATTATTCCTGTAAATCCAATTTTCCGTACTTTCTTTTAATAGTTTAATAGTATATTATGCAAAGCAGAACACGGAAAAACAATAGGTATTCTGACTTCTGACTACGTCGATTTTTATTATCATCATCATCTTTTCTTCTTGATTTTATTTTCCTTGCTGTTTTCTAGAGAGAAGTCATGTTTAGTTGTCAGTTTGCCATACAGGTTTTTAAGTTTTTCTATAGTAAAACACGAAACATGAAACAAATGCCAAACCCTGTGATGTCTTTCATTTCGAGTTCAATGAGAGGAATTTTATACATCTCGGCCCAATGACACCTCTTCATGACGGACCGGCCAAGATTTGAGACTATACGAAACCTCGGCCCAAGTAAAATATTATATATGTACAATCCCCGATGTCACTTTTATCAATGATCTCTAATTCTAATTGGTGCTGTGTCAAATTTTGTTTCTCAGTTATTTTAATCAATGAATAAAAGAATTGAAAGAAATCTTTATTGCAAGCAAGACAGTATACAAATAATTTTAGCTCTCAAGTGTTATTTGGCGACTGAAACTTACAAAAGCTAAGTATCAAATAGTTAATCCAAGAGACACATAAAAAGAATAAATTTCCAAAATATGTATGAGAAATGAACTAATATTCTACAAAAGCAAAATTAGTTGAATTAACAACAAAGTTGTTTAAGGACGTTCGATCCTGAGATTTTGAGTGGATTTTGGTCATGTCCTTTATTTATAAAATTCTGCATCATTTTTAAGTTCTAACATTAAATCTGAATTCTACAATGCAAATTGAACTATATTCATTGAAAATGAACTGTAGCGCCAAAAGAAGCATATTAACCCTTGTTTTTCGATTTGAATTTTAATTAAGCTATGTATGTAGAAACGTCGTTAAAATGTTTATGCTAGTCTTAAAAGTGAAACAAATACCAATTGGTCTCAAATAAAAGATTAAAACTTCTGTTTTTAGTTTTGTAATATTTTAAAACATAATATCTGAACTGATCAGTTTTAACCAATTCCTTCTGAAGACATCTCCAAAATAAATTTCAAATAAAACTTTTTTCTTTACTTTTCACCTTATCTTTATCACGTAGATAGTTTCTTTTCCAAACTTAATAGTTAAATGTAAAATCAAATGTCAAATGAATCATGAAGATTATCAATAGTTTAAAAGAATACTATGAATTTCATGGGGATTTAAATTTTGTGATTTTCGAGTCATTAAGAGACCCACGAATGTATGTGCTACAAGAAATATAATTCACAGATATTACTAATCAACAATTCTTCATCCTGGAAATTAAATTCCCACGCACCCATATTTTCCATTAAACCACGAAAGTTTGGCTACAAGAAATTATACGATTTAACAGTATTCTTATTTGCAGTGATCCATTTTCATTTAAAATGCAACAAAAGTCATTCATTTGTAAAGGAACATGCATAACCAATGCCTATAGCATGCAGTTTGAACTTTCTCATATTTAATTACATGTTTATGAGAAAACCGGAGAAAGTAGTAATAGGACCATCGTAGTAATAGCCTGAACCATGGTGATGTTTGATCCACACCGCGTCTCCCTTCTGAATAGTCAGTACCACCAGATTGGGACCTGCGTCGTAATAATCATCATTACTGTAACTATAAGCCATAGTTCTCACTTTTCTTGATCCATTCAACACAATGTCTACATAAATATATTGCCTATCATAACTTTGAACATTCAGGAAGAAGACGTACATCCCGTCGGTAGGAGCAGTAAATATTCCGTTACTTGGGTTGTATCCATTTCCTTCATTGGTGATTACAGAAGGAAAAACTAGCGTTCCACTGTTCCATGATGTGCTGGTGGATGACACTGAGGCAGAGAAACCTACATTCTTTGTCTTACCTACAAATTCAATTGAGGTTTAAGGCCTTAATTGTTGAACTCAAGATGAAATGTGTCCAATTATTTGAAATTATGTGCGATAAAAAAAATTGATTTCTTGACTGGGATGATTAAAAAAAATAGAATTAGAAGTTTCCTCCTCCTTTCTTAGGAAAATACGATTTCCTTTCTTAAAACACATCTCTAGTCATCATCTTTTATTAAATGAACTTGAATCAAAACGAGACGTGTTTTTTCATGTCTTCTAGCATTTTTTTTTTATCTTTGATTACCTTGGTATAAGGATCTGATTATAAAATCATATTTCTTTAAAAAGAATATTTGCATTTTTACTAATATTTTTGTAAGGAGTAAGAATAGGGGCTTGATTAGGCAATTGCTGCATCCTGCAAAGTATCACATTTAAAGTACTCATTTACAAAATTAAAAAAAAGACATTATTAAATAAAAACCGAAATTAAAATACATCACCGATGTCATCGGAGTCAAAAGCATTAAAATGTTTTTGTTATTTCCACGTTTATATTAAACTACTTCAAATGAGCACTATTTCATTACGTTAATGACCGGAAACAACGAACAATTAACAACAATAATGGATTCCGTTTGAACGTTGTGCCCATTTCTGTAAAATTAATTCCTTGTAGAATATTCTGTCATTTCAATGAATCATTTAAACCCGAGGGTTCCTAGCAAAGTGGAAGGTTTAGACAAGATGGTCGTACAGGCTATATCTTGTTCCATTGTAAATATAACAGCTTGACATGAATTGAGAATTTTTCTGGAGTTTGAATCATCACAGCAAAATCTGCGAGATAAATATCTTACATCTTGATTTTTGTGGAGAGAGAAAGTACCTTACAGAGTGTTATACTTTTTTGTGTGAAATATACCCTCTGAAATACTAGTAAACCGAAACAAATTTACATTTTTCTGAGGGATAAAGGAAAGTTAATTAACTTAAATAACAGTTGATTCCACACAGAATGAATTCAGCATTTTTTTCCAGGTTACAAATTTCACTTACCACTAACGAGACTTGAAACATTTGTCAATGATCCCTGAATAGAGGCAATTAAGGAAGATAAGTTTCCTTCCTTTGCCTTGGTCCTCTGTAACTCAGAATCAAGTCGTTGGTTTTCTGTTTTGAGATGCTTTAATTCTGCCTCCAGCTGAGAAATTCCGGATCCCGTGGTTTCCTTTAATGTCAACACGTCTTTCATCAGGGACTGAAAATTACTCGTCAGGGTTTGTACAGTATTCGTTAAAGACATCCGGATTATGCTCTCTTGATTAAGAAGGTGACGGAAAGTGTCTGAATCTTTAGAATCACCATCAGTCACGAAAGTTCTGGACAAGCTTCCATTTGTTTGGTCTGACAGCAATGAGAGAGCAATTAAAAATCGACTCAAGCTACAAAATATGCACATTCTTAGTATATAAATCATATTTTCAGTCTTCTGTGTAATATCCTACCTAAATGTAGCCTGCAAAATATAAGCAAACACAAGGTTTTATATGTGTATACTTGGGGTTCTACTTGAGTTCACTGCTCAACAGTTGGATGAATTTGATTGGATATATGTAAGAAGAATCCTGTCTAATGATGTCAGTAAGAGCTTACTAATTTTTTTGTGATTTGATTATGTATTAGACATACATATTCCAACATTCCTTTTAGAAAATGAGTCTGTTTATTAAAAAAAAATTACAAAATATATTTGAAATATATATGAAAGTGTCTTACGTTCATGACTTAATCAGTGTATTCAATTTGTATTTTTGGAGAGCTTAATCATGTTTATAGTGCCAGGTAGTGGTGTTTTATTTACAGTCGATTTGCAATCGTTATTTTTATTATATACCTAATGCGTATCACTCAAATTTACTGTTGATTTTATGCAATCACGTGACGTCGTGATCTGACTTTCCGGATCACCACACTGTGGTTTTTTGAATCTATATCACCACTGTCCGAAACTGATGACGTAGTACGCAGAAATATGACGTTATTTTTCTTGTGCGTTAAAAAGTCCTTTGTTTTAATGCTTTGTTTATTAAGTTAATATTATACCATTGGTCTGTAAAGAATTATTTTAATATATTTAGCCAGTTATAAGGGGTATATAATAAATTTATAGTTATAACAGTAACTTGATCCGAATAGTAATGTAACAAATGATATATATGTATCAAATGATTCTCGGTTTAAACTGTCCTTTGAATTTCTTTTACTCAAAAGTGAAAATGTTTCATATTATGATACAACTTAAACTTATTGTTGTTGTAAGAGTCAGACAAATATCACGTTGTCGATATACACATCAAAGTTCATAAACCCTCCGCTCACTCATGTAGAATGTTTCTTTCACTCTAATGATTTTCAGATAGAAATAGACAAATATGTAGAAAAATGATAGACATTTATGCCATTAAGAATTACCTTTCTTATTAGAGTGTAAATGAACCAAACCTTGAGGAAGCTCAAACAACACTGAATTTTTTTATTTGGATATTGAGAGAATAAATATATAAATGTATAGGTTTTCAAGTTAATTTTTGAACGGAGGGTACCTGTCATATTTCTCCAGGAAAGATTTTAAATACAATGAAATAGGCAATATTCTACAGGTATTTCCTATTGTCTCCTTTACTTTAGAGTTTCTTTCTTCAATTTTACGTCGCCACATGGTGCAGTGGTTAGAGCGACTCTACTCTAGAGTCGCGGCGTAAGGAGTGGATCCTTAGGTCGTGGGTTCGAATCCCAAAGTGGGACGTGGAGACTGATCTTTCGGATAAGACCGAATAAACTAGGGTCTTCTGTCGCAGTAGATGCTGGCACGAAAAAGATCCCTCAATGCTTAATAGCTGTAAGTGCCTAGTATAGGACAAAAAAATTGCAGCTATCCACCGGCGAGTGGTGGCGTTTCCATATCAATGAAAAAGTGTCGAGAGGGACGTTTTGATAGTATACAAACAATCAATCTTCAATTTAACATCTCATCACACATCACACCAGGATTATAAAAACTACCGTTGGATTAGAACTCATTGAACAAAACTTTTTTAATGGGATTTGAATAAAATAATAACAGTATGAATTAGCTGAGAGGTATCAATTGGAGTCCTTTCATGTTGATTGATATTGTTTTTCTCGCATAATCACCAGTGTTGGATTGACTTGTCCGGTGTGAGACAGCAGTGTGAGATTTTTCTGTCTTACACTGTGTATTACTACGCCGCGAACGATAAAGTAAGCATTCCGTCTTGATATAAAGAAATTGTAATAATGTTAAAAGTATCACATATAATTAAAATGTTGTCATTTAACTTATTAAAATAAATTTATTTTTATTCAAAATATTGTCGTATTTTAACTATTTAAATGGCACTATATTTAGATCGCGGAAGAATTCTTCTAGAATGATTGTTTACGCTATCGGATAGATAAGTTTTTTATTCCAAGTTTTAATCTATCTAATTAATTTACATAGACTGAAATTCATTTTATTAGTTTACACTACGTGTAAACCGTTTTCAGGTATGCTCTCTCCGATGGTGTTTCTAGATTTTTAATTAGATGGATAATTTAAAGAATATATTTTTAGCCCTATGGCGACGTCATTGACAGGCCGTTATTTTGGATAAAATAATGCGAGAAAAATAATCATTCATTACATACTCGTGTGGGAATAGTGAAATTCCACCTCGGTAGACTCGGCAAAGCCTCGTCCTAGACTGTGAATCTTGTCCCCTCGGTGGAATTTCACTATCACACACTCGTAGTAATGAATGATTCTATCAATCTTTATTTCCTTGTTGTTTCACCAAAGAAAGAACTGAAAACTTCCGTTCCAAACAGCAAAGTAAATACAGTTGTGTTCAATTATATTAGATGAACAACTGCCTTAATATCTAGATTCGATTGAATAAACTCGTTACCTAATTTTGAATATCGATTTTATGTTTCACTTTGCGTTTGAAGACAAATGATTGTAAATAAAATGAAACCCCTAAATGGAGCTTAAAGGACAGCAATTTCTACACTTCTTATCTACATCTACATTCATATCTATATCACTTAATGTTATGACGATCGTAGATGATTATATATAATTTCTGATTCAAGGACAAGCTGTCATTATTATGTTGACCAACTTTATCTCTGACAAGAAAAATGAAATATTTGCATTTTAAACAAAGTATCTTGTGTTGAATGATTCTGTTCTTTATTATTTTTCTTAGAAACAATATTGACGGGAAATTTATTTCCCATAATCAATCGAATAAAAAAGAATACATACTGCATTTATACAAATCCGTTGTACCATACGATGCATTCAACAACTGTTGTCATTCCTAATGTTCAATTAAAAATAACATGATGCATGGAAAATAAATGAATTTAAAAAATCAAACGATTAGACATGGTGTAAGTTTAGATGCTGAGGCGTAACCTACGTGAAGCAAAGGAATGAAGAGATTTTCCATGTATATAATTATGCAATATTCATGCCCAATCTTCATTGCAGACACAATGAACTCGTTATTTTTAAAGTTATATGAGAAAAACTTCATAAGTGGTAATAGGGACATTGGTGTAATAACCTGTACCAGAGTAATGTCTGACCCCACTTCGTCTCCCTTCTGAATAATTGGAATATTATTACTCCCACATCAGCTGTCTGTCACCATCAGGGTCTGTCTCTTCGGTCATCATGACGGATTCACTGGGGCCAGTAGGAATGTGTCCGTCAGTAAATGGAGGACCGTAAAATAACTTGCAGCTGATGGATTTGCTGTATCAGCTTTTGATCACCTATCAACCTTAAAACTTAATTTAACATAACATAAAGACTCGACTTAAAAACATCCTATCACGATGTTTCATATTGAATAGATTTTAGAGAATGAGGTTATTTGATAATATTAAAACTGTATTATGAGACTGAACATTAAAATGAGTAAGGTTTTTTTTTAATATTAAGGACAGACGACATGTTCCTCAATAATATATAATTTTTTCCAAGATTTCGTCATTGAAGAATTAATATATATACTTAACATGTTTACTCACAAAAAATCAAGGTATCTTACCAGGCGTTTTTGTGAGATACCAGAGGATGGCATTTCTTATATAATCCTTTAAGAAAAAATATTTAGTGTGCCAAAATCAAATTTTTAGTGTTTCAAATTTTTTTAAAGCAATTAAAAACCGGTTTAGAAAACAGAAAGAAATAAGGATTTTGTATATTTTTCATAAATTATGAAGATGTTCAAAACTGATTTTTGGGAAACGTATCGTCTGACCTTAAAATACTTTGCTTATAAACTGAATTATCTTCGTACAAAAGTTTCATAGATTGGGACATGCTCTACTGATAAACTTATCTGCAAATACATAATCTGCAAATACTTATATTCAAAAAATCACTCACACATGTTTGTGAAGTTTATTTTCCAATTCCTATGAAAATTTTATTGAAATTTATGACTAACTGAATAATCCAACACAAGCTGTTATATCATATATAATATAATATGATATTTCATGAATTTCAAAAAGAAGAAACATGATTCAAAAAACCATTTCAATGATTATACAGTAAATACCTTTTTTTTTTAAAAAAATGTTTGTTGTTGAGCATGTTTTAGAAAAAAATTTTCACCTTGAAAAAATGAAATCAGTATATTTTCCCGGCTGAAATCGATTATGAAAAGCGTATAAAATTTCTATACAATGAAAACATAAAACAACTGTTGTCATTCGTGATATCGATATTTCATAATAGAGACTGGTAAAAGGGTATCACAATGCTAAGAAAAACAATGAAATAAGATAACATACATCGAATGTTGTATTCGTCAGCGTTTATGGGGTCAAGATAATCGTAGACAATTTTCAAAATAAAGCGTTTTATCGTTAGTGCACGACAGTTACTTGCAAATGTGCACAAATGCGTTCAGTGGTTGACGTCATGCATTTGTTTTCCTCAAAAACGGAAAACATTTGTAGTGTTTACAATTGTCGGCAATGACTGACATTGTATATATACACAAAATACTGGAACTGATTGTTTAGTAAATGATATTCACCGTGAATTGAGATCAGTATCACTATATGAGAAAACCTGTGAAGGTAGTAATTGGCCAAACACAACAATGGCCTTGACCCGAGCGATATTTTACCCACACTGCGTCCCCTCTTTTAAATGACAGAACGGCCATGTTAGGGCCTGCGTCGTAATTGCCAATTGCCATTGTTGTGACTTTTTGGTTTCCATTCAACACAATGTCTGTGTAAATTGATTGTGAACTGTAACTCTGAACATTCACAAAAAAGACGTACATCCCGCCAAAAGGAGCAGTAAATATTCCGGTACTTGGGTTGTATCCGATTCCCTGGTTTGTTATTGCCTGACGTCACGGCGTCAGGCACTACTAAGGATCAATATTTCCTAGGTGCGAAGCTAAGAGGTCACAGTTAGCCAGCAAAATTTTGTGCATGCTGATTATCATCGGATTTTGTTACATGCG